AACCCACTCTTCTTGCTTGCATAGTTTCTAAAGAAAAGTTCAATGTAATTCTTATCATTGTTCCTCTGTATGTAAGGTGGTTTATTTTTTTCTGTTGCTTCTTTCAAGATGTGTTTTGTTTTGGGTTTCCTATGATTTGAATACGATATACTTAAATATAGAATTTTTGGTATTCACCCTGTGTGGTGTTCTTAGATCTTCCTGGATTTGTGGTTTGGCTCTCTTATTACTTTTGGAAAGGTCCCAGCCATTATCCATTATTACCTCAAATAATTATTCTCTTTTCTCTCTTTTCTAGTATTCCTGTTATATGAATATTACTATACCTTCCCTATTCCCCACATATACTGTTTCTTTTGATTTTCATGATTTTTTCTTTGAATTTCATCTTGAAAAGTTTATATTGATATATTTTCAAGCTCGCTTGCCCTATCAAATTATCTCACATTTTAATGTTTCTTTAAACCTCAGGGCATCATCACTTTTGTTTTATTTTTTAAAATATATTTTATTGATTTTTTTTTTTTTAACAGAGAGGAAGGGATAGGGATAGAGTCAGAAACATCAATGAGAGAGAAACATAGATCAGCTGCCTCCTGCATACTCCCTACTGGGGATTTGCCTGTGACCAAGGTACATGCTCCTGACCGGAATCAAACCTGGGACCCTTCAGTCAGCAGGACGACGCTCTATCCACTGAGCCAAACTGGCTAGGGCAGGGCATCATCACTTTTAGATAACAGGTAATGGGAAAGATACAGTTTTCAATATTGTTTTTTCTTTCACATTATCTTACAAACATGGTTTCATGTTTCTTCATGTTATGGTATCCACAAACTGTTTTGTAATATTAGTATTTAATAATGTAATCATTTATTGGTGGGTTTCTATTATTCTAAGTCACACTGACTTACATACAGATTTTATTTTGGCCTGTTTCACTGGGTTTTTAATTCCTAGATAAGAGACCAGGACAAAAGGATATCCATTGGTTCTTGCTAAGTATTACTTAAGTGTGCTTCTTGAAGGATTATGTCAGTATATCTGGCCACTAGCCAGGTGTGAACATATCTGGTTCCCAAAGCTTTGACCAGCGTTGGATATTTAATTTTTACACAGTTTAATGACTGTTAATTGGGGCCATACTATACATAGAGTCTTTAATTTGCATTTCCCTAATTACTAAGGAAGTTGAGTTTTTAAAAACTACATGTGTTTATTGTTTGTATTTCCTCTTAGGTGCCTATTCAATTCAAAGCAACAGACATCTTTTGAGTGCCCACTATGTGCCAAGTCCTGCGTGCTTTCCTCAAAGAAGAATGACCTAAATAAAAGGACCATTTGAGATAGGGTGGGGGAGCCAAGGCAGTATAGAAAATAAATGACTAACTCTACTCAATTGGTAGAAGCACAATATTGGCAGGCAGTTTGGACAAAGTCCTGTGGGTTGCAGACAAAGTAGGAAGGAGTTAGTCTCCAAAATAGATTAAGTTTTTGCAGGGCAAGTGACTTTAGAGCTGGGGCTGAGCAATGGGTAAAATTTTTCCAGGTGCTAAAAATATGTCTGGGGAGAGGGAATAATAATTTGACTGTTTCTTTTTTTTAAAATATATTTTATTGATTTTTTACAGAGAGGAAGAGAGAGGGACAGAGAGTTAGAAACATTGATGAGAGAGAATCATAGATCAGCTGCCTCTTGCACACCCCCTACTGGGGATGTGCCGGCCACCAAGGTACATGCCCTTGACCGGAATCGAACCCGGGACCTTTCAGTCCGCAGGCTGATGCTCTATCCACTGAGCCAAACCGGTTTCGGCTGACTGTTTCATTATAGCTAAATGAGAGAGAGAGAGACAGAGAGAGAGAGAGAGAGAGAGAGAGAGAGAGAGAGACAGAGAGAGAGAGAGAGAGAGAGAGAGAGAGAGAGAGAGAGAGAGAGAGAGAGAGAGAGAGAGAAATATCATTGATGAGAGAATCATTGATCTGCTGTCTCCTGCATGCCCTCTACTGGGGATTGAGCCTACAATCCCAGCATGTGCCCTTGACCAGAATCCAACCCAAGACCCTTCAGTCCACAGACTGATGCTCTGTCCACTGAACCAAACCAGCTAGGGCGATAACCTTCTTCTTCTTCTTCTTCTTCTTCTTCTTCTTCTTCTTCTTCTTCTTCTTCTTCTTCTTCTTCTTCTTCTTCTTCTTTTTCTTCTTCTTCTTTTTTAATCTATCTTTATTTATTTCAGAAAGGAAGGGAGAGAGATAGAAACATTAATGATGAGAGAGAATCATTGATTGGCTGCCTCCTGCACACCCCACACCGGGGAGCCAGCCTGCAAACCTAGGCATGTGCTCTGACTAGGAATGGAACCATGACTTTCTGGTTTATAGGTCAATACTCAACCACTGAACCATGCTGGCTGGACAGATAATGTGTTTTAACATATATGATCTCCTTTGATCCTTATAAACATGCTTCTGAGGTAGATGTTATTCCCATTTTACAGATGATAAAAGCTGAGACCAAGAGGTACAAAGACCCAACAAATTTGCCATTTTTATCTCTAAAAAACAAAGAGCATTATCCATATTTATAGGCTGAGGATTTCATTCATTTAGTCATTCATGAAATAAATATTACCTGAGTACTTATTGTAAACCCAGGTTAGGAGAATGATGTTGAACAAAATAGACATATTGCCTGCATTATGGAGCTCAAGGACTAGTGGGGGGGGAGAGCATTAACCAATAAATCATAAAAATAATGAAGTAATTATAAACTCTCATTGAAGAAAAGAATACCATGTTATGAGAACAATTTCTATATAATAGAGATGCCAGACCAAATCCTAGGATCAGGGAAGGTTTCCCCTAGGAAATAATTTCTGGAGATATTTCTTTTTCTCTTCCACACACTCTGCCCTCAAGCCTCAAACTTCACAAGGAGTTTGTAAACGTCTTCATTTGAGAGACACCCACGACGGAATATACACATTCTATGTGCATTTGTAAACCTTTCAAAATTATTCACCCTGACATTTCTATGTGTCTTAGTCCATACTATCCCTTCATTGACATTATCTGGCTTGTATACTGACTCCAACCTTGTGTAGTAGGCAGGCAAGCATGACTATCTACATTTTACTGATGAAGAAAGAGAGTGTCAGAGAGGTTAGGGCCTGGCTGGTGTGGCTCAGAGATTGAGCATTGATCCATGAACCAGGAGGTCACCAGTTCAAATTCCTGTTCAGGGCACATGCCCGGGGTATAGACTTGATCCCCAGTATAGGTCATAAGGGTCGTGCAGGAGACAGCCAATTGATGATTCTCTCTCATCGATGTTTTTATCTCTCTATAACTCTCCCTTTCTCTCTAAAATCAATAAAAACACATATATATATTTAAAGAGTTACCAAAGGGTTTTAAGCAGGAAAGTAGCATGATCCAATTTAGGTTTTAGAACTCACTTCTGGATTAGAGGACAGAAAGTGATGATTTTTAAAGTATGGTCTGGGTCCAACTACTAGGTCAGAATCTCTGGGGCTAGAGCTCAGGATACTTATGACCAGCCAGATTTGGGAATTCTTTACAGGCTCTAATGCAATAGAGAGAGAGAAGCACTGTATTAGAGGAAGTGGTGCAACGAGTTAACATGACTAAGACAGTGGCTGTAGTAATCAGGTGAGAAGTGATGAGTGAGGTACAGAGACGAAGGACTGCACTTGTGACCCGATCCCAGACAGTGGCCGAGGTCAAGGAAATGGAGCTGGGGTTCCCACCTGGGTCCTCTGGCTCCAGAGCCCGGGGGCTTTGCTGTTTATAGCTATATCTTGCTTATAAATACTGTATACAAATATTCAGTTATCTGAGCACTTGCTTTGCAAATCTTGTATTTCTTTCTCACTTTTATAAAACCTAGCAGAGAAATAAGGGACAGACAAGTAAGTCCTTAAAAGGGCTGAGTACACAGGCAATCACAGATTGGGGGAGAGAGCAGAACACGGGAAGATACACTGCATCTCGTCTTCTATGAACCCCAGGAGGCCTCCAGGAAACCTTAAGACAATCATCCCGGAAGCCCAGAGGGTGACCCCATATCCTTCCCTGGGTTATTACCGGTGTCAGGCTGAGGCAGTTCAGGAATCCAGGAAATTGTAAAGAAATCAGGACAGCCTCCACAACTATCTTCTCAAACACAACGTCAACCACCTCAACAATAAAACTCATTGACATTCACCTCCCTGCCACCCACAGCCGCAGACCTGAAGGAGGCAGAGGGAACTATGGGGGAGAGGCCCTTCGCTGCTGCTTCCTCAGCCTGAGTTTCCCAGGGTCTCGGGGAGCGGGGAAACGGACATGCCCATTTCTGGGTCAGGGCCCCGGAGACTGAGGCGTCTCCACTCTCCCCGCTCTGTCAAGTAGGTCAGGATTAAAGCAAACTGAGGTAAAGGCTGAGGCTGGCGTCTGGGGAAGACTCGCCCAAGTCCCTGGGAATGAAGGCCACAGGAGCTAAGCCAAGAGAGGGAGAGTGGAGATGCTGGGGAGGGAAAGGCTGGGGAAGCGTGGCTGGTGTGTGTGTGTGTGTGTGTGTGTGTGTGTGTGTGTGTGTGTGTGTGTGTGTGTGTGATGCTGGGGAGGGAAAGGCTGGGGAAGGCGTGGCCGGTGTGTGTGTGTGTGTGTGTGTGTGTGTGTGTGTGTGTGTGTGTGTGTGTCTAGGACTGGCATTTGGGGCGGGCGTGTGTGCGGGAGAGTGACCAATCAGAGAGCGGGCTTCCGCCGGGGGGCGGGGCCGAGGCCGGGCTCGGCGGCGATTGGATAACGGCGTTATATACGCCCAGGCGGCCCGGCGGGATGGGGTCCACTGCCGCGCTGTCCGCTGCCCGCGGAGTTCCCGGTCCCGGTCCGTTCTGTCCCGCCCCCACGTTCGCTCCCCGGCCCCCTCCCCCGCCTCTTCCAACCTGTCGTTCAGCTGCCCAAGCTCCCGGCCTTGACATCCGCAGAAGGAAATGGGGACAGTCCTGAATGCCTCCGAGGGGAAAGAGCCGCTGCTCCAGCCCTACAAGTTCGAGCAGTTGTCGGACATCAGGCCCTTTTTGGAAGAGTACTGGTGAGACGCGGGGAGGGGGAAGGATGACTGACGAGAGCGAGGGTCGGGGGAGCCACTGCCCGCAATGATTTTCTTTCTTTTTTCTTTTTCTTTTAAAAATATATTTTATTGATTTTTCATTGAAAGGAATGGAGAGCTAGAAACATCGATGAGAGAGAATCATCTATCAGCTGCCTCTTGCACACCCCCTACTGGGGATGTGCCTGCAACCAAGGTACATGCCCTTGACCGGAATCGAACCTGGGACCTGTCAGTCCGCAGGCCAAGGCTCTATCCATTGAGCCAAACCGGCTTCTGCTGCAATGGTTTTCTTAAAAACAAAAGGTACCGGGCTCTCCCGTACCGGCTGCACATTCCCACTGTCCAAGGTGTAGACAGTCAGTGTGAGGCTGCAAAGAGGTTAGATCTGGAAGAGAGAAGGGGGTAGGGAGAGAAAGAGAGAGAGAGGCAGAAATAAGAGGATGGATGGGCTGGGGAATGTGCGAGGAGACAGAAACCAAAGGGAAAGAGTGTAGTGAGAACTGGTCTCTGAGGAACGGGGGTGATTTGAACTCCTAGCCCCACCAGCCTACAGACGGTTCTTCTTTGTCCTTTGTGGCCTCCTGTGGCCGGGGGCGCCCGCGTACACAGTGCTGGTGCCTAGAGACAGCCAGCCCTTCACAATCATCACGTTGTTCTCCGAGCGTTTCATCGTCCCAGCTGCGGAGAAGGGGCTCTCCCTCGGGCTCTCCGGCCTCCCCCCAAGCCTCCTGCAAGGTGTCCGTGGGCTGTTCTTGTGCTCCAGCCAACTTGGTGGAAGCTATTTGCCACATTCTTCTTGCACCATAGCGCTGTGTTGATTCTAGGCATGGGCCAGCACTTGTCACCCACGTCCATTGAGAGGGCAATCGTCACAAAACTCCTGGACACAGCCCCTGCAATGTGCTATGTACTTTGCACATTTTTACTCCTCACCCGCAGATGTGTTATTATTGATTTGAGAGAGAGAGAAATATCAGTGTGAGAAACATTGATTAGTTGCCTCCTGTTACGTTCCCTAATGGGGGATCGAAACCACCATCTGGGTATGTATGTGCCTTGACCAGGTTTGAACCCGCCACCCTCTGGTGGATGGGTCGATGCTCCACCGAGTACATCCTAAGTACTTAGATAGTAACGCTGTCAGGAGAGGAGTATAATCCCCTTTCACAAATAAGGAAACTGCAGCTCTGAGGACAAAGTAGTTTTTCCAGTGTCACAAAGTTAGTGGGTGGCAGAGGTGGACCCGCCATCCAGAGCACTCACTTGGAGAGATGAGTGGGTATTTCTCTAAGCAGCACCCACCCACGAGCCCATCCCCTGTGCCTTCTGCCCGCCAGGACAATCTCCTTTCCCATAGCTCTGATCTACCTGCTGTCCATCTTTGTGGGGATCAACTACATGAAGGCGCGGAAGGGCTTCAACCTGCAGGGGCCTCTCACCCTTTGGTCCTTCTGCCTTGCCATCTTCAGGTAAGACACTCCTCACCTATCCTGTACACCCTAGACCCCCCACTCCAACCCCACAAGCTTTCTAGAAACCTCAATGGCATCAACTCCCCAAGTTGCCCCCAGCTCTCCCTCTCCCATTCTCTCAGCTCTAGTGCCCCCTCCCCAGCTTCCCCTCTCCTTCCCCAGGCACCCGACTGGCAGTTTCTGTTCTCTCATGAGTCCTCTTGTGCTCATGGAGTCTGTATACTTCCATCAAATTTCTCCAGACTTTAAGGTCCTCTAGAAACTTCTCTAGCCCCCCTCCTTCCCATATTTCCTGACCCATTGATATCCCCCATCCTGCCACCCATCTCCTCATAGGATTCTACCCACCCCAAGAATTCTGTTCCTTAACTCAACTTGCAATCCTATCCTCCAGCATCCCCTGGTCCTTTCCCAGCCTTCATCTCCTCTAGATTGCTGGTTGGATTTACCAGATTGGCTCCAGGATCTCAGAAGCCATGACTCCTGGAAGGATGGGAAGGTGGCGGAGCTTGGGTCCTGATGGGGCTGAGGGGGAAAGGTGGATTTGTGTCTGGGAATGACCTTCCACCCTTTTCCTCTGTCCCGTTTCAGTATCCTGGGGGCAGTGAGGACGTGGGGCTTTATGGGAGCTTTGATACTTAGGCAAAACCTAAAGCAAACTGTGTGCTTCACCATCTACATCAACGACTCTGTAGTCAGCTTCTGGTCCACCATCTTTCTTTTCAGCAAGGTCATTGAACTTGGTGAGTGGCAAGGTTTTGTCTCTCTGGCACCCAGTCAACTGCATCCTTCCTCAGTGTCCCCCTCACCCATCCCATGGAGAGTCCCTTCCCTACCCCTGGCCCTAACAACACCTCTCACCCAAGCCCCCCTCCAGATTCTCTGCCACAAAACCCCCTCTCCCCACCCTGAGAATTCCCCCCTTCCTCCCCCACCCACCACATTCAGTGCAGAGGGGTGGTCCCAACACGGGGTGGTATGTCAGCTTCGACTCCCCATCTCCCAGGAGACACAGCCTTCATCATCCTGCGCAAGCGGCCCCTCATCTTTGTGCACTGGTACCACCACAGCACCGTGCTGGTGTTCACGAGCTTTGGATTCAAGCACAAGTTGGCTGCCGGCGGCTGGTTCATGACCATGAACTTCGGTGTGCATGCCATCATGTACACCTACTACACGCTGCGGGCTGCCAACGTGAAGGCCCCCCGGTGGCTGCCCAGGCTCATCACCAGCCTGCAGATCCTGCAGATGTTTATGGGAGCCGCCGTCGTCATCCTGGCTTACCTCTGGAGCCAGGAGCAGGGCTGCCACACCACCGCGGAGCAGTTCTTCTGGTCCCTCATGTTGTACATGACCTACTTTGTCCTCTTCGCCAACTTCTTCTACAAAACCTACCTGATGCCCAACGTCAAAGCCAAGACCAAGAGCGAGTAAAGGGTTGGAGAAGAAGAAGGGCACGCAGGGGTTTAGGTTTAGGTTTGGGAAGAATGATTAGGAGGTTTTCCCTGCATGGTTTTGCCACAGGATGTGTGTGTCCCAAGGTGGCAGGAAGTTATGACAGACAAGAAACATCAACCGTGGGAAGGGGATGTGATCTAGTACTTGGATGTCTCTATTTTTAATGTGAAGGCCAACCAGACCCTGAGATGGGGCTGGGGACCGGGGAGGATTCCCACAGCCGGGTTATTTATATTTCTGTATAGAAACCTTTCTCTTCTTGCTCAATTTTTAAATTAAATATTTCAAGAAGACTTCTGGGTTTGAGGGATTTCGGGGGAATGGCTGCTGGCAATGGGATGATCAGTAGATGAGACGTCTAAGAGGAGGTGTGGATGAGAAGCACATACGCAGACACTCAATAAGAATCCTAGTTTCGGTAGGCACTTAATAAATGTCTGTTACAGACCAGAATTTTATTGCTGTTGGAGGCCCCAGCCCCTCATTGGAACAGTGAGAAACAGGTGCAGAAGAGCGGAGTAACTTCTCTAAGGTTCGTAGGCTTCCTAAAGTTGCAGAAGTGACACACCTGCAAGTGTTACAGACCAGATCTTCCAGTTATCCTCCACAAGACCGCAAGGTGGCGCCGCAGCACCAGCTTTAGCCAACGCCCGCCAAGCGGCCAGTCCCCCCCCCCATCCCAAGCCAACCACACAGACACGCCGGCACGCGCGCGCTCCTCCTCGGCTCCGGGCTCCCCCTCATCCCGGTGTTACTGGCCGAGGGGGACTGAAGCCCTAGACACATGGACCCCCTCCGCTTCCTGGACACCCCAGCTCTGTTTTAGACCTGGGGGAGGAATAGGGGAAAAGGGCTCAGCTGCAACTCTGAATCATTAGGCCTTTCAACTGTCCGCGCACGTTTATTTCATTGATCTTTGAAAACGATAAACGGGAGAGGAGGAGTCTGGAGAAGGCGGGGTGAGCCCAGGCCCAGGGTGCGTTGGCCCCCGGGGAACTGGTCCCTGTTTCTGGCCTTCGTCCCAGGGGCATGGCCGGTGTGTAAGGGCCCAGTCCGCCGCTCAGGGCTGGGCGTGGGAAGGCTCGCTCTGGGGCTGGCCGCCTCCCTCCCTCCCCCGAGCCGCCCCAGCATCCCTCTCAGACTCCCGTCCAGACGGCCCCAGTCCGGGAGGCTATGGGTTACGGACCCCGTCCTCGGGGACCGTAGACTGGCTCGGGCACTCATACGGGCCGCTCCACGGCGTACTGGCAGGGGCTGAGGTTGGCGGCCGGGGGCGGCCCGGGGACGGCGGGGTAGCTGAAGGAGGCGTGCTGTTTGGCCTTGAGCCGCAGGCTGGCCAGGCTCGAGTTGCACGGGTCCCGATAGACGTAAGGGGAGGAGGAGGCTGCAGCGGCGGCGGCGGCGGCGGCGGAGGCGTAGGGGCAGGACACCGCCCCGGAGGACACTGAGGCTGGAGCCAGCCCCGGGGGCCCCCCGCCCAGGCCTTGCAGGGCCCCGGGCCCCGGCACAGCGCCCGGCGCGGCCGCGGAGGGCACCATGGAGGCGGCGATGGAGCTGGGCGGCGAGAAGACGGGCTGCGAAGCCAGAGGCCCCACGTTGACCGAGTTGAAGGCGAACGGGAAGGTCTTGGCGGCGAGCGGCGGGCCGAGCGCCTTGGGCGGCCAGTTGCCGTAGGAGTAGCCGGGGTACACGTCCTCGTAGGGCGGCACCAGCCCCCCGAGCGGCGCCGCGAAGCCGCCCTTGCACAGCTCCGCCTGCTGGCTGCGCTCGCGCTTCCGCCACTTGGCGCGCCGGTTCTTGAACCAGACCTGCGAGCGGGAGGGCGAAGGGCTGTCGGGCGGGGAGCCGAGCATCCCGGCCCGGGTGGTGGGGGTTCAGGCCGGGGCCCCCGTTCGGAGGATTAGCTGGATGGGGTGGCTGGGCACGGGAATGGGATGGTGGAGGAGCACAGGGAGTCGGGGAGCTGAGGACAGAAGCAGTGGGCGCGGAACTAAAGGGAGTCGTTTGGGTCCGGGGGAAGGGGGATGGCGAGAAGAGCAGCGATAGTCCCGGGGGAGAGGGAGCGTGCGGTCTGGAGTGGTGGGGTGAAGGCTGGTGGGAAGAAGGCCGTGTGGGGTAGAGGACCGGGGCTTTGGGACTTGGCCGGGTGTCGGATCCGAGGATGGGGGGCAGGCAGGGCAGAGCCACAGGTGGCAGGTGTCTAAGCTACTCGCCGAGCGGCCCCAGAGGAAGACCGGGGTGGGGCTGCGGATCGGGGAGCGCCATACCCGCACGCGGGCCTCGGTGAGGTTGGTCCACACGGCGATCTCCTCGCGCGTGCTCATGTCGGGGTAGCGGTTCCTCTGGAAGGTGGCCTCCAGCTCCTGCAGCTGCTGGCTGGTGAAGTGCGTGCGCTGCCGCCGCTGCTTCTTCTTCAGCGAGCCGTCTTCGGGGGAGCCGCCGGGCAGCGAGGCCGAGGCCTTCTCCGAGTCTGGGGCCGGGTTGGGGCAGGTCACGGGGATTAGCGGGCTGGGGGACTACCTCTTCCACCGGCTTCTGGCTCCCACCTGGGCCCCACCCCCATTAGGGACGGAGCTGTTATCTCCCCTACGCCCAGAAGGGGGCGCGCTCACCACTGTGTTCTTGGCCCTTGCAGCCGTGCTCTGGGAGTGGGGGGTGGGGAGTGCCCGCGTCTGACAGTGATAGGGTCGGGCTCTGGGCCTCCGCCTCGCTGAGCAGGCCGAACTCCATGGAGAGAAGACTCTGGAGGGAAGAGAAGACACAGACCAGGCCAATGGGGATAAAATCTCCGTGTTATCTGGTTCCCAGAAGTGTGTCTCCCCCCAGGTTCACTGTCCTTTCACAGCCACCAACATAAAGATACTCCTGTGTGGGGTGCCCTGGGGTAGAATGGGGAAACAGCAGCCTAAGGGGAAAAAGGTGTTTACTCAAAAACTTTATGAGTTTACACACTAGACTTTGTTTTGTCCACTGCCAGGCACCGAGAACTGTGCCCGGTGCACTATTGGTGTTCAACAGATATTTACTGAATTAATGAAAACCACAACGATTGCACACCATACCATCCCTCTCACACGAATGCCCAATTTTCCCATAAACTTATATATGCCCCTCAGTCAATCACACCTAACACATAGCCGGAACCTCTGTTGCTCACTGAACCAGGCCTGATACTTCGCTCATAATCACTGCTGTCAACTATGAGTGCTTACTGTGTGCCTTTATCTCGTTATCTCCCCCCTCACAGGAATGCATCAATGTTAAGTATGATCACCTTTTTCAGGTGATGAAATTGAGACTTGAAGTAACAATTAAGGGTCACAGAGCTTGTAAGCAGTGGAACTGGGATCTGATCCTGGTCTGTGAGACTCCTAAGCTAATGATTTTTTTTTTTCGTTTTTTTTCTCTTTTCTTTCTCCTTTATTTAAAAATACATTTTTAGGAACCTGGTGGAGGGGGGAAGAAATGAGGAACCTTTGTAATAATATGAACAATAAAGATTGATAAAAAAATTTAAAAAAAAATACATTTTTATTGATTTCAGAGAGAAAGGGAGAGGGAAAGGTAGAAACATCAATGATGAGAGAAAATTATTGGTTGCTTCCTATGCGTCCCATACCGGGGATTGAGCCCGCAACCTAGGCAGGTGCCCTGACTGGGAATGATTCATAGGTTCATAGGTTGATGCTCCACCACTGAGCCACACTGGCTGGGCTTCATTTGCTTTTTTTCAAATTGTGTTCTTTAGGGCCCCTACCCAGAGACCCCCTCAGAGAGTGGAACTCAGGGCTAGTCTCAAGGATGGTACCCTAGCCTGGTCTTGATTTGATCTGCTACACCTAGGGTAGCTCTGCTTTTGACTGTTTTGTTCATGCTTTCTGGAGAGACTTCATTTGAAAAAAAGGGTTCCAGCATAAAAACCCAGTTTGAAAACCACTAGGCATTCGGCTCTGTCTGACTCTGTGCCTGTCCAGACACACTTCACTTCCTACTGGTCATTGTTCTACTCATGCCCAGCCTCTACTAGGCCCACCCCAGGCAGGCAGTAGATAGGAGCTTCTGAAAACCCCCTTGCTCCCCTCACTTCCCATCCCAAACCTTGCCTGATGTTACCCAGGAGCCTGCCTGGGTCCCTCTTCAAGTCTCCCCTGCAGACTCTATTTTCTGTTGCTCTCCCAGGCCCTCTCTGGTAGGAGGAAGGGAAAGGGACACTGGTGGGGCTCGAGAACTCTGGATGCCTCTACATCAGAGGAGAACCAAAGGAGGGTAGGGACAGAGGGACAAGGGTGAAGAGCAGGGTGGGAGGGGTCCATCTACCTTCCCATTAACAGGGATTTAATACAGTCTGTGCAAGGTGGCATTAATGTGGTGGATTAGCCCAAGTTGAGATGTTTGTCACTCGGCTGCTCTGAATTTATTAGGAGCCTTTCTCGGGGAGGCACAGATGGGCAGTGGCCTGTATTTGCACATGGTAATGCCCCCTTCAACCGGCTCAGAGAGGACAGCTGTCCCCAGCCCCCCACCTCTCCAGTAATATTGGGGTGGGGCAGAGGTCAAGGCAGGAGTGGAGGAACAGCCCTTGTTCTTTCCACCGGCACAGGAGACTAGACCTTGGACCTTTTCCTAGGACTAAAGAGGCAGGCCTGATGGGGATCTGGGAAGGAAGGAGGGAAGTCAGGCCAGGGGGAGGTGCTCAGCTTACCTCCCTCAGGCCTGAGGTCAGGAGTCAGAGGCTTGAGGCTGGCTCAGTGCTCTGGTGGAAGGGAGATGCCCTTGGGAGGGGCCGGTAGCAGTCTTGACTAGTAGCTGAGAGCTGGACCAAGGGGTGCTCTGAACTCTCCTTTTACTTTGCACCCTAGAGGACGAAGAAGGTAAAGAGGGTCCAATACATGATGGCAGAGGAGACTGGACTGTGGGTGGAGAGCACACAATAGAGTATACAGATGTCTTATTAGAAAGTTGCACATCTGAAACTTACATGATATTAACCAATGTTACCCCAATAGATTTAATAAAAAATAAAATGAGATAAATATATTTTTTAAAAGATGCCCTCAGAATGTAAAACCATACCTCTGATTTCTCCAGAGGTCACAGGAGCAGCAAAGAACTGGGAAAAGAGACATTTGGGTTTGCCTGTAGGGGAAGCTAAACCCCACCGTTTGCCATTTATCCTCCCAGACTGCTTTGGCTCCAGTCTTCTAATTTCCCAAACTCCCCTTCCCCCAGCATTCCATACCTGTGTCTTGGTTTCACCCTTTATTTCAGCAAAGGGAGGCAGGGTGAGGAGAGATAAGGGCCAGAGTAAAAGATGAAGCTGAGAAAGCAGAGGTCAGGCAGTGTGTTCCTAGAGACAGACAGACACACATGCAGACTCACAGAGGCCCCCACTCAGACAAAATAAGCACTTGGACTTGGAGCGGGAGGCATACAAACACACACTCTCCCACACATGTGCTCCCACATTCAGGCAGACAGACACACACTGACACACAGTCTCCTCTCTCTGTGACAGGGACAGCTGCCTTGGCTGTTTTGGAACCAGCCATTACCCTCCCCCCTCCCTTTCCTGGCCCCTCTGAACCTCGGCTTTCAGTCCCAGGAACTAAGGATTCTGTGGGGGAGGAGGAGGCCAAAGGAGCCAAGGGAGTGGTCTGCACTCAGTGGCTGCTGGGGAAGCCTGTGTGGCTGAATGGGAAGGTGGCATGAAAAGGCTGGAGGAAGAGGATGAGGCGGGGGTGGGCGGCAGAAACTGCCCAGGCCTCTTTTAGGAAAGTAATCTGGGAAAGCTCAAAGAAATTAGGTTTAGAGCCAAAAGATCTTGGTCCATGTCCTGGCGCTCCAACTTACTAGCTATGTGATTTAAAAAATATATATTTCATTGATTTTTCACAAAGAAGAGAGAGGGATAGAGAGTTAGAAACATCGATGAGAAACATTGACCAGCTGCCTCTTGCACACCCCCTACTGGGGATGTGACCACAACCAATGTACATGCCCCTGACCGGAATCAAACCCGGGACCTTTCAGTCCTCAGGCCGACGGTCTATCCACTGAGCCAAACCGGTTTCGGCTAGCTATGTGATCTTGGCAAATTATTCTACCTCTCTGAGCATATTTTTTTTTACCTCTAAAAGGGAGATCATAACCCCTTCCCTACCTACCTTCAGTATTGTTATAAAGTTAAAATGAAATATAATATGTAAAAATGGGTACAACTCTATCCAAGTATTTTTTTTTCTTATTATTCATAGAAGAGATGCTTATTTAGCACTTTCTATGACTTGGGATTGAGTAAGGCACCAAGGACAGAGTGGCAAATATGAGCTCATCCTCATCTCTGCCCTTGCTTGAATGGTTCGCCTCCCTAGACCCTGTATCTCCCAGTGAAGAATTTCTCTGGTGAATAAAGAGGTGAGTACATTGCATTTTAGAGAAGGACACAAATGTGTGTTGTGAGCACGCTGTCCTGAACATAGAGACGAGCCCAGTCAATAAGGTTAACAGCAAAATGGGTAGAGTAACCCAAGTTGGGAGTCACTTTGGGGACTGGTAAAGGAAAGAATGAAGCCTCAGGCTCCTGACTGACTGGGGTACTAGTAGGAGATAGAGGGGATGAGAAGGGCCCGACTGTGAAACAGAAAACAACACTAAAGCCTGACAAGTGATAGGAAAACGAAGGGTGGGCATAGTCTCTAGCATACTTGTGCCCTGGTGGGCTGCAGGAGCCAAGTGGTTGTCTGAGCTGGAGACAGGTCGGCTGAGAATTAAGCTCCCCAAACTGCAAAACTGAGACTGAGGCCAAGGATGTCACCTCACTTAGTGGACAGGGACAAGCAGTAGGTCTTGTAGCTACAGGTTTGGTTGATGCTGATAGGAAGTGCCAGGCAGGACCAAAGAGAGCCAAGAGGTAAGAGTGGTGCTGAGTTCAGCTTTGGGAGGGGCTGCCTGTCCTACCACCAGTCTTTCAGACACCCGCTGGTGTCAGAGAGCAATCCTAGTCCTAAGGAGAAGGGAGGGCCTACAGGGGTGCTCTGATTGTGAGGTACAGGCTGAAGTGACAAGAAGATGTCATAAACTGCAGCAAGAACAAAATACCCAATATATATTAAGGTGGAGAGCAGAGAATATCGTGGGGAGGCCATGGTTGATCCAAGGGGTTCATGGCAAGAGGTCAACTGCCATGTGTACCCACTTTTGTCCTGAAGCCAAAGGGGTAAACCAGGGCCACAGCCAGAAAGCCCCAAAGAAGTGACAACAATAAATGCCTAAGGCAGGAAACACACCCTGGAACGTAAACAGGAGAACTTCCTCCCCCAAGAACAGAATAGAGGAAGACAAGAGGGGATGGAGTCGTGATGCTGTGGCTCAGTCAGCAGCACGTTGTTGAACAGGTGCAAATCAGGTCCCTAAACCATTCTGTAAACCTGAGGCTGAAGCCAGGCCCTGAGTGCACACAGCCTCACATTCGTTGGTGATGCTGAGTACCCAAACTGTCTGGCCTGCTGAACTGCAGTGCAAATGGGAACGAACAAAGACAGCTGGAGACAAGCTCACAGCCCCAAGAGGGAACCCTAAGATTCAGGTGGAGGCAGCAATAACTTGATAGACTTAATTTACTAACGGGTAAGGCAGGGATCAGAGACATGAACCTCCACACTCTTCCTTCCCTTCCTTCTTTCCTTCAGCAAGTGTTGGTGCTAAGACAGAACCCCAAGACTGGTAAGGCA